TTATTTAGAAAATCATTTCTTCAATAGATATATTTCAACCAATTCATTTTGATATCCTCGTTATTCATAATGGTATATCATATACAAAATGTTGCCAACAATTTGTTCTTTTTTACTGTATTTCTTTTTCATTATGACATAACTAATTGAAATATCTCCACTTTCAATATTATAAGGACTTGAACCTCTTCTCAAGTTCTATAATTAGTTATGTTCATATATTCTCCAAGAGTATTCTTCTTACAAATGTGACCATCTTCTTTAGATCTATTTTTTCAAGAATTTTTATCTTTAGAATCAAATGTCTCAACACTTCAAGTTTGTCATTTACATAATGCTAATAGTTTGTTTTTCTAAGAAATCAATATGAGATGAACATTTATAGCTAGTATATGAGATTTTATAAATCTCTTATTGATCAGCAAGTGCATCTTGTGATGAGTTATCTTTTTAGGTTGTTGAGTGTGAGGACATAGATAACACAATATTATGCATTATGCATATTTTTAGTTACTATTTTTACTCCTATTGCTAAGAAAAATGTCCAATCAAGTTAACAGTTTGCAAATCGCGTTATAAAATATTTTTATTTAAGATGGTTTTATAAGGGTTCAAACTAAAACATGTATTGTTAGCTTTCTTTAATGTTGATCTGAGTGTAATATAGTTGAAGCAATCGTATCATTAGGCGGAAATGTTAAGCTCTGATTTTAAGCCAAATATAATAAAGAAGACATTGATGTTTACATGATACTTTAAGTTTTCAGCGATAATGATTTAAACATTAATTGGACGCGTTTAACAAATGGCAGTGTTAATCATTTATAGGCATCCAACTAACTCTTATAAAAAAAGGTTAAAATTGAGGCTCCCTAGCATTAACAAGATACATTGCAATCGTACTGTTGCGAATATAGTAATGACATGCAATCATCTATGTATTTATTATATATAAATGATATTTAGATGATCAAAATGAAAGGTGGTGGGATCTTGTATATTACCCTAATTAATTTTCATAAGTGTAGGAATTTAGCTCTTATTTTAGCTAGTGAAGCTCTAGTAGCTTATATGTTGTATGAACAAACATTACTTTGAAATTCCTTGGATTTGAAGATATTCTAGCTCTTCAATTAATGTTTATTGAAATTTTAATAATTACTGCATCATGTTAATCAGAGATGGTGTAATTGGTCGTACCAAATAACAAAATATTCAATAATGGAACTTTTTGGTTCAATAGAGTATGTGCCGCAATGTTTAAGAACTTAGTAGGTTCATTTTTTATTTAGTGGAGTATAAATTACTAGAAATAATAAAGTTTGTTCCTTCATATCACACCATATTAGCTCTTCTCGAGTCTTGTTCCTTCATATCACACTATATTAGCTCTTCTCGAGTCTTCAATCAAATATATAGAACGTGATATAATGTTAATATTATTTCTATCATTTTTGTCTTTCTTCTTCAAAGATACATGAAAATTTCAATAAAGTGCTTGAACATACGATATGCACTCATAATAGGTGAACAATAAGGCTATGTTTGATTGCACTCCAATTCTATGAAAAATAGAAATTAAATTTCATCTTTCTAATTTTTTGTTGTTTGATTGGCAAAATTTTCCCTAAAATTCGAATTCCACATTTTATGCCACCTAAGCTAATTTCCATGTTTTCCTTAAATTCAAATTCTCACCATTTTGGCGAGAATTGGAATTATTGGTTACTGTAGCACTTTTTTTTTCCATTTTTTTATTGGCAATGGAAATAAATTTTAAGAATTATTGTAAAAAAATATTTCCCTTTAAATAGCAATTTTCATATAAAACAAAGCCAAATGAACACCAAAAGATAGATTATTTTCCTGAAATTTTTTTTTTTGGTGTGTTGGCAATGGAAACAAATTTCATCCCCAATACTAGTAAAATCTATACCTTTAATTGACAATTTTCATGTAAAACAAAGTCAAACGGAGATAAAAAACACTTTTATTTCAGCATTTTTCACATGAAAAATTATCTCAATTAAACACAATAATTTACAATTCTCAAGAAAATAATTTTTAGGCAACTCAATTCACTGGAATTCGTTTTCAATTCAATTCAATTCTATCTTTGCAATCAAACAAATCCTAAGTATTGTTTATTCTCTCTTTGTCATAATTAATAATAGGCTAAATAATACGTTGATTATCAATAACATAAGTACATATATGAGATGCCAATAAATTTTGGTCCAAGAAAATATCAAGCAAAACCAATATATACAATGTGTCAAATATTGGTACCTTATCAATTGACGAAAACGATAAATTTTCTTTTAAAGATACATATTTATTTAAAAAGAAAATTCAATATCTAGAAATTTCTACTTCAGCAAGAGCAAAATTATGTTATTTTTCAATGATATTGTACTATGCTCTTCATGCGTAATAATTAATATTTTTCTTTGATTTTTGCTTTTTTCAAGAACACAATGAGATATATATTTTTTTTAAATTAATAAATTTATTTTTATTATAAATGATACATTATTCTTCTGAAATATTAATAGTCACCAGATTTACCTCTTCTGTAGTAACTACATAATAGTTTGTCAGAACATTGATATAACATAATTTATACTTCTTCAGAAGCATTCAAGATCATTAAATTAAAAGATTAATAAATTAGAAAACTTCTCAAATCATGAAATATGCTAGATATTATGAAATTCGTTATTCAGAGCAAATAATATTTATGAAACTTTAATATGTCTAAATTTGGGATTTTTTAAGAATATCAAAAAATTCTTCAAGAATATTAATAAGTATAAGTTGTACTTCTTCAGGACCTACAACATTATTGAATATTTGGGCTCTATTTAAGAAAAGTAATAATATTATACCCTTCAAGAATATTAAAATTTATAAAGTTGTGCTATTTAGAAATAATAGCACCATAATGTATTATAATAAAAACACATACTTCTTTAGAAGCATTAGTAAATCGAAAGATTTTACTAGTCTGAATATAACCTTACAAAACATGTAAATATAGTTATATAATAAAAAGATTTGTATGTTTGGAAAAAGTAAATATTCATTTGGTGAAATACTTGAATTCGAGAGACTTAGCTAAATTTGAGTAGTCTCGAATTCTTTAAACAAAGTAAATTGAAAAATTTATTTTGTTCTCCAAAAATTTTATGATCTTCGAGCTAGTTCAAATTCGCTAGTGTTCAAGTAGCAATTTCTCATGAATAAACTGTTTGATCTTGATTTTAACTATTGGATTTGAAGAAAATGATTTGTGAACTTACTATTCGAATTTCATGATGATTGGACCAAGAAACATGAGGCATTGATGTTTGATCACAGTTATGCACACTGTCTAAATTATGCCATTTTTTTCACTATTAATCTCAAAGTTTCTTTTTATTTGGCGAATTCATATTAATAACATGTTATGAAATTAAAAGAACAAAACTTGAGATTTTATAATAACGATGACCCCCCTATATATATGGTTTCAGTATGAATATAACACTTCTAAAATAAGTAAAACTTACCAAAGTATCCGGATAAGAGTAAATAGATATTAATAATTAGGGAAAATTGCAGTCGAGATACCAAACCTTTCGTTTATTAGCAGACTTTGCCCAAACCTTTAGTTTGTGCCACTGGAAGTACCAAACATTTCAAAAATCAGCACCCAAAGTCCAAATGGATGGAAACCGTTCGTTTGACCGTTAGTTGACCAATAATATTAAACATTGACCAATTTTTGACTAATTGAAAAGGGTAAAAAAGTAAAAGTACTTAACTCTATAATAAAACAATTAAAATAAATAACTAAAACAAAAAAAAATACTATTCATCTCCTTCTTCACCATACCCCACGCCCACGCTACCCCCACCCCATCCAAATCATACTATCAGCCTTTTCCAGTTTCAGAGCCTCTAATCTTGAAGTCAATCTTTTAATTTCCATCTCAATCTCCTCGATTTCCTCATCGAAACTCTTCAAATTCACCTTTTCTTCAAAAGCCTGTTTTGAAATTCCTCTAGTTTTCAAATTCTCCGAAGCTCCATTCACATTAACCGGCTTGAAGGGTGTCACAACAGATCTGAGAGGAGAAGAAACAGAAGAAATTGGGTTCTCAAACAGAGGACCCTCATTCTCTTTGCTCGAAGAATCCGAGATGATCGACTCTGTCGAATTCAACAACATGGGCTTTATAGGACTCCATGAAGGCTTATTCCCTGAAATTTCTTTAAGATCTCCATTATCAAATGCGGCATTGTTCCATATCTGAAGATCATTAGAACTCACGCCTTCTTTATATTGCAAAACACTCATCTTCCCTCTAATTAAATTCGGGATGGGGTGGGGGTGGGGTGGGGGTAGGGTGGGTGAAGAAGGAGATGAATAGTATTTTTTTTTGTTTTAGTTATTTATTTTAATTGTTTTATTATAGGGTTAAATACTTTTACTTTTTTACCCTTTTCAATTAGTCAAAAATTGGTCTATGTTTAATTTTATTGGTCAACTAACGGTCAAACAGATGGTTTTCATCCATTTGGACTTCGGGTGTTGATTTTTGAAAGGTTTGGTACCTCCAGTAGCACAAACTAAAGGTTTGGACAAAGTCTGCTAATAAACGAAAGGTTTGGTATTTCGGCTGCAATTTTCCCTAATAATTATCCCATAATTTTACTAAAATGGCTTGATAGATATCAATAATTATCCCATATAATGAGAGGAAAAGGTTGATGAGAACCATATCGATGAGTCCAGCCGAGTCAATGTTTGTCACGTATACAGAGAGATACCAAAATTAATGAAAAATATATATAAATTGAGCGTGGAAACTCATTTTCATAGCATATATATCAATTGTACTAGTTTTTGAATGCTATTATTGCTTTAAGAAGACTTTCGTCAGTAGCCATGAGTTTATGTTGATTGTGTTGAGAGTAACTATAAAAGAATCATCTCATTTTATTGGCTCAAACGAACCTTCTCTGTCTCTCTCTCGCTCTCTCTCGCCTCTCACACACACACGCACACTCACACTCACACTCACACTCACACTCACACTCACACAATGACTTTGCGAGACTTTTTCCAGTGAAAATAAACATCGGAAAAATGTTTATGTATGAATTTGGATTTTGGAGTCGCTTTGATTTCAATTTTAATACGTTTTGATAGGGAGAGAAAATCTCGCAGGATTAGTGAAGAATGTTTGACTGAATTTGACAAAAATGGGAACTTCCATAGTTTTTGCTATTTGTTTGTCAAATAAGTCAAAGAATAGTAATCTTTTTATCCTTTTGCGTACCGGTTTTCCGTTCTCTCTCCGGCCCATAAAAAGGAAATAGAATCCCGTTAATTTCTGAATCATTTTACCTCCCGTTTTCCTTTCCTGTATTTGTTTTCCTTTTTCTCTGTTTCCAAGAGTTAGGAGAGAGAGACACTGAAATCGCTCCCTCCTTCCCTCTTTCCTTTTCTGGGTTTGAAGAATCATGTTGATCCTTGACAAGAATTCTACCCAAACGAACCTTGAAAGCTTCTTGGATTGCATAACTCCAGCTGTACCATCTCAATTCTTATCCAAGGTATGTTTCTATAATGTTTATGGGTTTTATTTATTTGTATTGCTTCGTTGATTGATTCCCCCCCCCCCCCCCACCCCCCGCGAG